TACTGATACTAATACTGGCCAGCGATCTTGTGGCAATGCGTCGCTGTCCCTCAACTTCCAATCTCGTGCTTCTTTGGACAGCAAACTAGTTGAGACCGAAACAATAGCACCTCTATACTTAAAGCCAAATAGTCCACTTCATTTTAACTCGATTGATTCACAATTCGATTAATCAATTCTAAATTCCAGACAATGAACAGCATTCTTAACCCATTCGTTGCCCATGATGTTGATTCCTGGACTGACGCGTGATTCTGCACACTTAACAGACACTTGAGGAACATGGAACATCTGAAGCAAAATACACACAATCAAGTAAACAGCGTTCTCGTCAAACAAGTTGTTGCTTCCTGCCAAAAACAGAAGAAAAAAAAAATCAGGAGGTGAAACAGGGAGAACTTTGTGGGCAAGAGCAAACATTCCACGTTAGCGCCCATGCACACAATACTGAGACAAATCGGCAAGAAACATGCCAGTTATGCTTCACGTCAGTTCATAATCAAGTTACCACCGCACTGCACACATTGTGGGACACATGCGTGTTCTCACAGGTTACATAAAATATGATGTCAGTTTTCATTTTAAAGGCAGCACGCACACACACACACACGCACGCACACATTGGTATTTTCGATGACAGGAGATGCCCGGCTGGCTACAGAGTCAAGAGTCAATTTGGTAGAAAATAAGAAAACGGTTCATTTGTTAAACTGTCTTATTTTTCATTGTTTAATGAAAACCTTCAGATCCCAGAGATTAACCAGCAAAATAAAAAAAAATAAAAAATGCTCCTCAAAATCATAAAGTTGCTCCTCATGGGAAGTCATTCATTAGAAAAAAAAAAAAGAATTCTATACATCTCGGCATGCAGCAAAATTTTCACCGTGAGGTGATAAAGAACCGCTGCAGTGAATTGGAGATTGCTGAATATGATACAGCTGAACCTTGGTCTATTTGTGGTTCGCTATCCAGGAATGCATCTATTCGCATTTTTCTGTAACACCCTAAGATGCCACAATGCTAAACCCCTGGCTAAAAGGAAAGTAGAATTATGTGTCAAGGAAGGAGTGTGTAAGTGAAAAGAACTTTGTATGTTGCTGAGGATCTAAGTTTAGCCTGGGTTGTCAGTGGATGTTATGGAGAGTTCCCTCACATGCGTATCTATTTTTTCAAATTCAAATAATTCTTTTAAGGGTAATGTAAAATGAGTTTCAAATGATACTGAAATGTTTTGGGAGCATAGTTTTTTTTTCTTTTTTTCTGGTTTCAACTATTGATCGAGGCATTTTTTTAAGCTATCCTCAACTGATTAAAATACCAAATCTGTTCGTCCAACGAGCAACCAAGCAGTGGTTTTTGTCACCTGTATGGTATTAACTCTGTTCAAATATTTCAGCCGCTACATATGAAGAAGCATTTTGGCCACCAAGTGTGTGTGTTTTTCGCCTCTGCCACAACACATTTCTGATACAGGGTAAAGCTACGCTGTGTTGAACTGCCTGGCCTTGCCATGGGGAGAGTGTCGAGAACTTGAGTGCCACAGCAGCGACACCGCAACATACTCATAGGAAGGCAAGATTGATATTGCAGCTGAGCAGTACATCACACACACGCGCAAGCGCACGCACGCATACGCAGTGCTAGTGGAAGCCCTTGGCATACCCTGCAAAGTTTGAGTGATGTGTTTGTGTCATCACAAGTGACAGCAGGTCTCTCCAAAGTAAAAAAAAAAAACAAAAAAAAACCCCAACCCAATTTCAAAAGCAAAGCAACAGGCAGTAATAGAAAGTCATCTACAGTTTGCCCGAGCGCGACGAGAATCAATGTCACAGGGCAATGGCAGACGAGAGCGAGATAAGTGTCTCATTGTCAGAGGCGAGCCTCGGGCTAATGCGTAAGAGGTGCACAGGAGGGTGTCGAGGCACAGGAATGAAAATTGACCATTAACTAGTAACATATTTGAAAAATGCACTTTGCGTCATCCGTAACTGCTCAAACAGGCCAAAACAACTCCAGTCCTCAGACCATGTGTCAAGATAACATTGCAGAGCATTTGAAGCAGTGCTCAAGGCAACACACAGTTTCCCCAAATGACAACAACCACATCAATCACTATTTTGATGGGGAAAGTGTGACTGTTTTTAAGTCGGTTTTGAAAACATCACACACAAATTAAAACCAACTGTAGACCAGGGATGCCCAAATCTGGTTCTCAACAGCGCCCTATCCAGTCTGTGTTATGCTCAAACAGTTTAACTGGCTGGCATCAATTTTGAACATGTCGAAAATTTCTTTGGGACAAGAAAAACTGTATGCAACTGTTCAAACGGTTTGCCGAACGTCATTGCAACGTTTTGGCAGCTTGAATGAACCCTGATGAAAAACCAACATTCGGGCCAGGCGCGAGCCTTTGCCGCTCAGTGAGATACCACTTTTAGCTCGATAAAATAGATTGGACAGACAGACAGACAGACAGACAAACAGAGAGAGAGAGAGAGAGAGAGAGAGAGAGAGAGAGAGAGAGAGAGAGAGAGAGAGAGACACAGCTAGCTAGCTAGCTAAATAGCTAGCTAGCTAGATAGATAGCGAGCTAGCTAGCTAGCTAGCTAGCTAGCTATATAGATAGATAGATAGATAGATAGATAGATAGATAGATAGATAGATAGATAGATAGATTGATAGACTAAAAATGTTTTTAAATTGTTGTTGGGTCAGAAAATTTTGTATTTTTCTGTGGTATTTTAAACTAAATGTCCTAAGTCATTTTATCACACAACTCCTAACACGGACAGAAGGGGAACGGCTCCATTACCAAGCTGCAATGAATTATACACATCCTCCTGAAACCTTCTTTGGCTCTGCAACCATGCACACGCATGCACACACACTCTCACACACACACACACGCACACGCACACGCACTTCTCAACAACAATGGTGTCCACTGGTAAGTGACTGATTACAACCAAAATCCTTGCCTGGTTATAAATGGAGCTCATCTGTCATGTTTCATCGACGAATGCTTGCATGTGGCAAGCATGGCAGCTTGCGGAATTGTCAGCGCACAAAGCATTCAAATGGCATGCCATCTAACTCAGGCAATTGCGCAATTAAATAAATCATAAAAGAAATGGCCTATTGATTAGAAAAAAAAAATCTCGATATCCTATTGCATGCGATATCCTGCGTAAGTATAGAAATAATGGCAACATATTAAACCAAATCTGGAAGTCATTTCAAATGGGGTCTGCTCTAAAGTGTTTACAAAAGTCTAGCGGTGCGAGCTTCAGGAGAGGAACAAGGATGTTTGAGCGTGTTGACAGCAATCATGAAGGGTTATTTGACTGCACCTTCCTGTCTATAAAGGCCGCCCTCTTCCGTGCATGACGATGCAGTAACATAAAAATACTGTCCTGACGTCTTCATGCACGTCAACGTTGACTTCCGCTACTGCAGCAGCTCAAGTTCTGTGCCTTGAGTGAAAAACTCTCTGAACCCCAACGTGAAGATAAACAGAATAGTCTCGTTAAAACCGGCTAGTGAACAGCACCGACATGGAATGGGGAAAGGGGGGGGGGCATCCAGTCACTCCCAATAATATTCCTGGATAAGTGGTAGAATCAGAAACACCTTTTACACAGTTGACATAGTAAAAGTAGGCATTTTCCACTTTTTTTAAATTATTATTATTTTTAATGAACAGTAGAGATGTTGAATTGTGATATAATGTCAACCAGCAAATTTTCCGGCTTTGTAGAGAGTATCAGAATATGGAATGGTACACATTTTTTTCTGTCACTGTTCTCTAACAATGTTAGGTGAAGTGGTATGGGGGTTAAGTCAATCTGCAAAGTTTCATAGGTAATAGGCCTTTCTTCTTTTTTTACTGCCGATACAAGTCAGCATTGTCCATCTTTCATCTGTCTTGCCGTTGTATCCGGTATAAATGACGCTGACAGTGTGACAACAAAATCATTTTTACCTTTTCTACCAAATTTCACAACTTCGGGGATCGTGTCAGATGCCTGTAAAAGCTCAAAATTGTCTTTCTTTTTTTATGTATCCTTTTTCCATGTGAACTACACCAACAGAAAATTGCAAGACTGCCTGTAAATCCCGTCGTTTTTCTGCCTTTTTCCCAAATCGCTGTTTTGTACAAATGGCTCCTACATGGAATGCGGCTGCCAAGTTGCCTTGGACATTTTTCAGCTTTGGCTGTAGTATCAGATGCCTCTTGTGCACTACCTGTAATAGCTGCCATTTTTTTCCTTTTTCGAAAATGGCACCAACACGGGTGTGGGCTGAAATTGACGGAGATTTTCCGGCTTTGGGGGTAGTATGAGAGGCTCTTTCCCTATGAATAGCATTGAGACGGAATGGGGTGGGGTGGGGGGTATTGACAAGGGAATTTTCTGGCTTCAGCGATAGTATAAAAGGTGTCACTCAAAAGCCCGCCAGCCACAACAAATAATAATAAATACCATCAGACCTGCGTTCAGCTCTATATGATTTTCCACAACTTGCGTCGTCATGGTGCAGACAATCATCGGCCAAACTGCTTTAAATGATGAGAAGATTACCAAGGGTCGACTTAATGGCCATAAAATGGAAGCAATTTGCCATCCCGTACAGCACTTTCTGATGACATCACTGACTCATCTCTTCACACTTCCTCGTTTTTCAAGCGCAGCTATGGCACAACTACAATATTCCCGAAAGACCATATTGCCTCATTGGGGGTGACTAATAACCGAAAAAAAAACAACCAGACAACAAGGGAAAAGGCCAGCGACGACGCAGCACGGCGTTTATCGAGGTCCCAAAGCTTGTTTGGCTGTTGAAAAACAGTAAACATCAACTTGTTGCACTTGTTCTTTTGTTTTGTTTGTTCTAAGGGGAAAAAATAACAGGAAAATGTTGGACCCGTTTCACAAGATTATTTCCTGGCCTGAGTTGCATGAGGTGTAAAGTGTAACCAGGAGTTATTTGTTGAAACTCACCATATCCACGAGTGTCTTCTAAAGGGAAAGCGGCTAAGGTGCTTCATGGTTCTGTCACTGGATACACCTGGACACAGTCCGAGCTTCATGCTGAGGCTGACTCAGCTTTTTTTTTTTCCCAATTCGGATTCTAAGATTCTATCCACGGGCGAAGACCCACAGGGTGCACCACTATCATGAGTGGTGTCCCATGCTCCAGTAAACCAGGCGAGTCCAGCAAAAAGCTATAAATAGAAGTCTTTGGTCGCAATAAAAAAAGCACTTAAAAATGGACTAGCACCATCAAATTCATGGAAACAAAAAGCCACTATTCAAAGGCAGATTAGATCCGAGTGTAAAAACTGCAGCGTATGGACTCCCAGCAGTGCGGCCACCCACGCCGAGCCCTCTGGGGCCGCCGCCACCGCCGCTCCTTTTTTCCTCGGTATCCTTCCGGCAAAGGTCTGGAAATGACTGCCCTGCATCCACATGGTGAGCCGGCTTCAGGGAGTCATTCCTCTGGAGAACAGCTGACGGGCGGCAGCGGCGGGATGAGGAGGAGGAGGAGGAGGAGGAGGAGGAGTGGCATTTGCGTGACCGAGCATGTTGCAAAGCGCTCTGCTTTGTCTCGCTTACTTTCTCAACATCCCGCAGAGGAAAGTAAGGAAATAGGAAGGGAGAGAAGAGGGAGGGAGGTGAAAGAAAAAAAACAAAACAACAATGAACCATCTGAGCCTATCTCTGCTTCTCGCCTCCTCCTGCGTGGGATGTCCTGACCCTGTGTAAGAGGCATGCCTTCGCTCTCCACTCTGCTAAAACCTATTGATCCTCTTACCACACGCGGCTGCGCTCCATTCCTGAGCAACGTGTCTGCACGGGCGCTTGCATGCACACAAACACACACACGCACGCACACAAAACCGAAAGCCGGTCGTGTGTACGTAATGTTCGCACACATGAGTTGGCACAAGTAATTCCACTTATATCCATCTGTCGCCGCACCTTTCTTTTCTTTGCGGAGTACGCCTTTGTTTGTCCGCCGACGTCATCATAACCGCTCAAGAAGGGGCATGTTGGTCTCATGTTGCATTGCATGTGGTTTCGTGTGTGTGTGTGTGTGTGTGTGTGTGTGTGTGTGTGTGTGTGTGTGTGTGTGAGCGCGCGCACGAGTAACGCCACAAAAACACGCAGGGATTCTTGTAAACTCACTACGCAGGATGTTAACTACCACGAACCAACAAAGCAGAAACAGACATTCCGCTGTTCTTACACCAGCACCGTCGAGCCTCTGTTGAATATTGTCTGTTAAAACACAACCGTGTTACATCAGGGACGGGGGATTAAATGCTGGAAGGAGCCACGATTTGTCACCGGTGCTACTGTGGGGAAGGTGGGGGGGCGGGGGGGGGCACATACAACCACGCACTTCCTTGTCAGATGTATGACCAAAAAATATATATCGAAGTTTGTTGCCTTGAAAGTTTGAATGTACCCAACAGTAAAAAATACTGACATATTCTAACACTTGCTAAGGTTGACGTTCTTAATTCAAAACAGTCAGAAGCCTTTTAAGATGTAGATCATAAAATAAGTAATCGTTCTTCTAGTTACAGTGTTTTACACTTTTGCACGAAATCCTGCAGCGTTCTCGTGAGAACAAGCTCAATCCTATTTAGAGTGTGAAAGAGAGTCAGACGTCATGATGTCATTCATAAGCAGTGAGGTGTGAAGATAACTACAACCCCCCCCCCCCGTACGCATGATTGACACTGATTGTAGAAAGCGTGCGTATTCGCGTGCGTGCATGCATGCATTTAGGAATTTGGGGGGGGGGGGGAGTGGTTTGCGAGGAAGTTATGAGGGGAGGTCAGGGTGAGCGCACTGCGTGTGTGTGCGTGTGTTGGGTTGTGTTGTGCGTTACAAGTCACAGCAGCGGCGCGCCTCCAGTTGCTTGCGGTCTGAAAAACAGGATCCAACGTTGCTTCTTGCACACTTCCTGCCCGACACGCACGTCAGCAGCCTCTCAAACGCTGCCAGCAGGCAAAACCGCCTCGTCGCCTCTGTCGTCTTGCACCTCTGAGCTGCGCGGTTTGGGTGGGGCAGCCGGTGACGGGTGGGGAATCCGCTTGTGGCCAACGTCGGGACCGAGATGCGGTCCCGCTGGGAGACTGTGGCCGGTTTGTGCGCGCAAGCGGAATGACTAGTGTCGTAAAAGCGGCGACGGGGAAAACATTTTCATTTCGGAGGCTTCAAAGGACAGTCGCAAAACTAACAAGACCGCTTCCAAGGCTTAAGTCGGAAAAAAAAGTTGCGGGGTGCCATATTTGTGTTTGTCCATCCATTCACGGTTTCGTTTGCGCTCCATTTACGTCATCGTGACACCAAATCTTACTGGGAGCGAATTTACAAATATGCCAAACAAACGACAAATAAATCACTGAAACTTATCCTATTGGCTGACGAAGCAAAAGTCCTTATACGTGAATTATAGTGTCTACAAAATGAGGTAATTATACTTACTAATTGTTTCACTCCATTAATCTGACAGGATTATAGAATTTTTTTTTGCAATTTATGCTTGGCGGAGGTAAAAAAAAAAACCCCAAACAGTATCCAATCCAGTTTTGAAACAGCCACATATGGTTGCAGGGGGAGTATGGACGCTATGATAGATTTTGTTAAAAAAAACTATGAACTGATTGCATGAAGGTATATATTTAGGTGCCAAACTGAAGTTTGATTTCCTACCGGAAAAACTCGAACATACAGACACTCATTCACACTCACATATGCACCTATAGAGAATTCAGAATCCTCAATCATCCGACCATTCTGTAGATTTCATTCGGTACATTTTCGCGGTTGATGGAGCCAACACTGTCCCAGTGCGTCTCTGCTTGTCGTATTGCATAATCCTAGATGTTACCCTGGCGGGCTCTTGGCCCTCGATCCACTCCGCGCTGGTGAGTTGTCACGACTCATTCTGCCACTCGACACAAATAAGAAGAGGAAGGTGTAGCAAAGGCTAATACAAAGTATGTTAAAAATGTGCAGGCATTAAGAAAAATAGGAGTGGGATGCAGATGTAAAGAGGAGGTCTAGGAAAGATACTTGTGGGTTCTATACACAGCGCGATTGATTTTACGTTAGCAGAGAATTTAACCTCATGGGCTCTATCTCTACTTCCGTCGATCACAGAACAGTGCGCGACGGTTGACGTCAAACAACATGGCAGAATGTCAACGCTCCTGGTCATGTGACTGTTTTTTTTGCACTAGGTGAAATGCAATTAGTTCCACAAGGCAGGGTGCCGGGGCTTACGACAGTCCCGACAAATGACGGTTTGAGGTGAGGAATTGTGGGCAATCAAGTTGAAACCACTGCATTAGCGCGCTCAACAACACGTTCAACCGCTGTAGGAACGGAAGTCTGTCGTACACTGAGGACGTTCTGTAAATAAAGAACGCCATTTTTAAGTTTGTTGAGCAACCATTTTGTGCTTCCCCGACTAGTCTGTTGCCTAATCGGATAGCTAGTAAAACTGCAAGTAAGGTCTTTGGTCAGCGTCATACAACCATACAGCACATGCTAGTGGAAAGTGAATGGAGTGACGGAAAATATATCCATTTTTTTTCCTGTTTCATAACAAAAACGTAACAAAAAATGATTTCAATTGGAAAATCGGTTTTCATTTACAAGATGTGAGTACATAGACTCGAACCAAATTTACAGTTTAACCCTTCCAGAGACTGCGGTTACTACAGTGGACAGTTTAGCATGTTATCAGGTTACAGGGTGCACAAAAGGGCTAAAATATATTCAGATATGCATCGAATCATCTTTTAAAGGAGAGATATTGTATATCTTTGAAGGAAATGCCACATTTACAGTGCTGACAAGTTCATTCATACGTTTGCAAAATAACAACAAGGAACTCATTGCAATCAGATCCTTACCAAGTAAGCCGTAACATATTGACTCCAAATCCCACTGAATCGAACCAAATCAAATCGTTCCGCTTTCAAATCGAACCGTTCTTGAATCACCCGACACCCCCATGAGATATGTGTCAAATCTTTTTTGATTGGAGAGATGCGCAACCCGACTATCTGGATGCTTTCCAACGGGGTGGTTTTTCGCTGCGGAATCTGAACAAAGTGAAGGTTGTCCCGCACGCCGATGATGACGCAGCTAATCTCAATAACAACGCTTGAATACCCCAGATAAGATCCAAATGTGAAAGTGGTGCTCTCCAGACAGGTGGAGAAAAATGGAACGTGGTGCACGCTTACTTCCTTGGAGGAGGGCCGGCTGTCCATCATTTCTATGTGCGCTGCTGTGCAAAAAGCCCAGCGGCACCAGCCCTCCTCCTTGCCATTCACACAAGCCAAAGTGGTGGCATTTCAGCAAATAGTAACTCATTCCCCAACGGAGAGAGATATTTGTAATCAGATCGGCATCTACTGGGGGGGTTGGGGGTGTGGGGTGGAGGGCGACATGGAGGCTTCAAGGGCCATTTGGAGAATATAAAGAAGGTGTAAGTGGCAAGAGAAGAAATTGCCCACATGATAAGTGGCAGGGAAAAAGGTTGTTTTTATTCCTCTTTTCCACCGACTCTTTGATTTTATGGCCAAGTGAAAGAAAGGAACGGGCTTCTTTGATTTAAAAAAAAAAAAAAAAAAGGGAAATTCAGACTTCTAAAGCCCCTACTTTGACTTCAAAGAGCTGCAGGATATTACAGATGGGGGCACTTTTTAGTGACTCATACAAAGAAAAGAAGTCGAAAGATTCGGAAGTGTGGAGCTGACACTGTCATCTTGTCTACTTGTGATGTCATATCACCGTGACCTTTCTAGAGCCTATCCCAGCGGTCGTCGGGCAGTAGGCGGGGGACACCCTGAACCGGTTGCCAGCCAATCGCAGGGCACACAGAAACCAACAACCATCCGCGCTCACACTCACACCTTGGGACAATTTAGAGTGTTCAATCGGCCTGCCACGCATGTTTTTGGAATGTGGGAGGTAACCAGAATACCCGGAGAAAACCTACACAGGGAGGCCAGAGCCAGAATCGAACCCTGCTCGTCTCTCAGGTGTATCCCTTCGATATATTCCCTTCCTATTCCGAAGGGCCCTTCACGCCATCTTGAGGCAACTTAAATGAGGAAAGAGCACAAAAAACCTTGACAGGATGAGTTTTTCAGCGACTAACGGAAGATAGTTTCCAAAAAGAAAAGGGTAAATCGGTGAATTTGTGAATAGCAGACCGCAGACAGACGGGGGATTGATTGCCGTGTACGGTGAGCCACGCTTCTCGTTCACAAACCCACTGTTGCATCTGTACTTTGTCCCAATTTCTCACCGCCGAAAAGGCAGTCAGTCTCCCTGGCTGTCATCCCCGCCCGTCAAATGGTGCACCCCAGCACCTCCATTTCCCAGCTTTGTTGCTCAAGCCCTCCAAAAATAGACTTCTCCTGCATTGCACCAACGTTGTGTCACTGATGCGGTCGAGACGCTCAGGCTGACTTCTCTCCCCCCTTGTGCCGGCTGACTCGTCGTAGCCTTAATCACCGGGATGCACGGACTGATTGTCAATGCGAGCGTGATTAGTAATTCCACAGAGGGGATGGTATGGCTCACTAGTGACCCTACGATACAGTAATTACCACAGGCTCGTGGGGGAAAAATACGTACACTCTTGGTCTCAAAGAGGCAACATGAATTGAAATCAATAATTCGTCATGTTTACATGGGAACCAGGAAGTGATGTGGATGGCACACCGGCCTGTAACACAACTTGACAACTATCATTTCGCAATGCCAGCACAACCCTGAACGATGTATTTTTGACTGGTCTGCGAGACTAGCGGACCAAGCAAGGACATTATTTATGTTGTTAGCATGAGCGCTAAACTTAGATATGATGTGATAGCGGAGATAAGTTATGTTATGGTTTAACTTCATTAGCTTAGAGTTTTCTTACTGTACGTCAAAAGCAGTTGAGGTTTACAAATTATGAAACAGCAAAAACCACAAAT